AATAGTTCTGGCACGTGTTGTGTCAGTGTGGCGTCAATTGACTTGGCGGATAAGGAGTTGGCGTACTTGCGGTCCGTGGCAGGGCCACGGATTGGTTGAGATGTGGTGCGGTGACGCAGTGTGTTTTTACGCTGAGGTTCTTGAATTAAATCAGTTGAAAGTTAGCACTCGGTGGTGTCTGTCCTTCCTATGTCCCCGTCTTCAAAGCGCAATTATGTTTTCTAACGTACCGTACCAACTTGCCCAACAATCAGCACTCGTTAAAAAGTGCTATTGTGTTTTAAGCAGCTCGCACCAAATATTTTCTTGAAATACATAGGTTCATGAAAATTATTATGTAGATGTTGGCAGACAGTCATGGTGAGGCCAATCTTTAATGCCAAGTGGTCCACTTATTCAGAGTTAATTGAGTTTGTAAATATTGTAGGTCGCAAATTAAATTTTTATGGTATGCAATGGGCACAATCATCCGTAATGACTAGCTCTACCTAGGGGAACTTCATACGTTTACTACGGCAAGATGGTTTCGAAAAACAAAGTATTTAGTTTATTCAACTCCTGCACTAACCTTGTCTTTAGAAACTTTTTATATTCTTTGCGATGCTGAGATAAGATTCTGGAAATAGTTTTTCTAGAACTACTCTAGATATTTCCAGTTCATCATTTTTCTCGCAAAGCATTCGAAAGAGCCAAACCCTGTAATGTACGGAGGGAATTCACAGAATGATGCGACTGACAGTTTGGAACATTCGGCACTGTAACAGTAATAATGACATGTCACTTATGTAATGCTCATTGTCGCAGATCAAACTGCTTTTTCCGTCTACACTCATTTTCAGTAGACTCATCCAGCGAACTTCCACCTGAGACTGCAGCGCTGGGTTCTGCAAAGTAATTTGAATGAATAATGATGCAACAGGTTTCTTTGAGCGTGCGTCTAACACATATTCTTTATATTGAATCTGCTAACTGTATTCATGACCATGTCCATAATTGTATCCACATTCCAGCTTATTTTTATTTTGACATTTGAGTTTTCCTCAGTACTTTTCTCAACATCTGTGCTTGTTGAACCGTACTCAAGTCCATACATCTTGTGTTTCGCTATTACATTAATATATAAAACTGTTGATGCCGAGTGAGAATTCAAGGTACCGAATCTGTCGTGCGAGCTAAATAAGAACCAATAAAAAGCTATACAAAGGAAATTTTGTTAAAGGAGGCTGTATGGGCATTAGAATAGCACATGCCATGCTAAAAAAAAAAAAAAAATACAAATTCTTGTTAGGTATGCAAGGATGACAGTGTTGTGCTGTTTCTGATGTGTCACAAAAAACAAAAAAAATCAGTGCCATACAGTGTTCCTTATGGAAGTACAAACTGTTGAATTCGAAGCCCAGAAGTTTTATTCAAGAATGTTCCTCAATACAAATGTATTTTGAGATCTGAGCCACTGACTGATACATGACTATGTGGCAAACATTCATTTTTATGTGCATTATAGTTTACTAGGTCTAGTCTGCATTGATTTATTGCATTCATGCTGAAACTGGGACGGGTTCTCTGGGTATGAATAAAGAGATAAACATTTCTTGATATCAAAACATTTGAGAACGGACAAAAGGAAGGATCTGAGAACGGTATCTTAGATTCTCTTCTTTTTCTTACAGTATATCTAATGTTCACTTTATTTCACCTGATGCATTTAGTTTTTAGCGCAGCTGTTAGCACCCGTTTCCGCGTTTCGCGGCGTCGCTGTCGGCGTAACCGTTTAACTAAACTTGGCAGGAAATTGAATTAATGTTGTGGTGATGTGACGTTAATATTTCCGCTAAGTCTAGCTGAGAAACTGAATGTTTTTATGGATGACGTGACACGGTCATGCGACGTCATTTTCCCCGCTACTTTTAGCGGAAAAACTGCATTTGTGTTGAGGTTATGTGACATCAATTTCCGCGCTAAATTTATTGGGAAACTTAACCCGCTAAATTTAGTGGGGAAATTTCCCCCTAAATCGGAGGGAGCAGAAGAGGAGGAGGGGAGGGGAAGGAGGGGCATACCCTCCCATCTTCCTCTTCGAGAGCTGTACTGTATTTTCTCATTACAGAGAATTGTAAACGTCTCATATTTCATCTCATGTTTTTTCAACTTTTATATTGCAGGTGCGCTTGCAGCACAAATCTGGGTTGTGCTGATCCTCTACGCACAAGTTAGGAACTCCTGAGTGACAAGAGTGGGAGTTTGGTCTGACAGCTCAAGGGACACCATTGTTCAGTATTGAATTTTTAATTATCTTCTTTTGAGCAAAGTTAAGCTTTGCTGCATGCAGTTCTTCTAAAAATAAATACCTGCAACCAAATTTACCAGGTCACGACATTTTGCCTCTGCTCTTAGTGCTCCTGGTGAGCCTCAGATAAGAGCTTACTGGTGTGCAAACATCATAATTGTTTGAAACCACTCACTGATGTAGAGACTCATTGACATCCGGCATTCCAATGAAACGCTGGATATCCACAAGTCTTTCTTGAACAATGCAAGCGAGAAAGGAAGCATACAATCATATTGTATTGGGGGACATTCTACAGAGTGTTTTTTTTGTATATTTTACAGATTTTTAAAAAAAAAGCTGTAAAAGCTACATTTACGCAGTCTGTACACGTGAGTTATATGGCCAGGGCGGCATAGTATAAAAGGCTAATTTGTAATGATCAGTCGGCTTATTACAGAGATGTGCCAGACTTCTTTCAGAAAACTAGATGGAGGTTCATTCTCGCGTGGTTTTATCCCGCGAATCTGAATATCCCGTTCGTTTTCCACAAAGATATAACTAAACGTGAGAAAACACAAAAAAAACATCCTACCAATAGTGACATCGTAAGAAGACCTTTCAGCCGCCAAGTGTGTGTCGCTTAAGGGCCGCGCGTCCAGTCGCAAGTTTTCTAGGTATATTCTCCCGCATTGGCACCAGTCGTGACACATTTTTCTGCCCCTTTAAAAAATAGCATGTGCGTGCATAGCTTTCATAGGCGCTGAAGATGCGTGAACAAAGATTTTGAAAGCTGCTCTTGTGACGTCGCTCTCTAGGGAAGTGCTTTCAAAGCGCTTTAAAAATGACTCTATGCAGCCTCGATTAATTAAATTGGCAAATAATTTTGATATTTGAGATTCTGGAGGTCAAATGAAGAAGATTTAAAAGTGTTTTCTCAAATACAAAACCGCTTCAGCCTCTCTCTAAGTATAGTATGTTCCTGAAATTTTTAATCAGTGAAAATAGACCCATGGTTCCAATTAGAAACTTCTAAGCATCATCAAAACACACTAAATCAATTTTCTTTGTGAAGATATAAGACAAGAGCAGCATTTTATGGTGTTCTAAAAAAATGGTCAATTTGGACGCGTTTCCAGACTTCGGTTTCTTACCAGAGCGCATCTTTGCACCTACGGTCCTGCTGCCCGGTGGCCGCAGTGCGAAGCCGCCCCCTCGCCTCCCTCGTAGGATGGAGGGAAGCAAGGCGCACGTGTGTTGCGCGTCTAAGCCCCTGGGGAACAGGACCGTGGGCGCAAAGATGAGCTCTGATAAGAAACTGAAACCTAGAAACTCGTCCAGATAAAGCATTTTTACAGAACGCGTAAAATGCTACCCCTGCATTATATCCTTCTAAAAAGAGTTGATTTTGTGGTTTTCAGTGACTCAGCAAGTTTCCAATAGAAACCATAGTTTCATTTTCACTAATTAAAAAGTTAATTAACAAATTGTATTTAATTATCTGACTGATCGTTACGACTAGGTCCCTATACTACGTACGCCTGGCCATATAACTCGCCTGCACAAATCGCATTAATTTAGCTTTCACGACCTTTCTAAACATATATGTAAAGCTTAAAACTAAATTGCCGTGTACAACAGTGAAAAGGCGAAACCACCATGTTGGAGCCATATGGCTCCAACATGCCGGTATCACCTTTTCGCTGGTATAGGATGTCCCATATTACGTTATCCATGTATGGTTCCGTCCGCCTACGTGGTTCCGCCATAATCCACTACGCCGGTATAGGACATCCCATAATACGACACGCTTGTATGGTTCCGCCTACCTGTATCGTTCCGCCGTAATCCACTATACTGGAGCTGCCTTTTCGCTTGTATAGGATGTCCCATATTACGGTTACGCTTGTATGAGCCTTTTCCATCATCTTTCCATCATCGATATTTTCCAACAGGGTAGTCTGGCCCAAGTATACTCGCACACACCGCCACTGATTCAGAAGCCCTTTGTCGCGGTGAAATTGCAAGAGTAAAAGGGGGCTATTTCTTTCAGTCTTGCCTTCGCAAAGCTTCATGACGTAATTGTGGGATCGAATCCGCCTGCCTGACGACGGTCGAGCGCGGCTCGTGGATTGAACACGAGAACTGCGTTAGCACTCGACTTTGGCTCGTAACAATCAATGCCTTGGCGAACACCTGGTTAGTGGCTCGTGTCCAACCACTGCGGTGATGAGAATAACCGAACTCCAAGATTGCCTGGAACTCGGCACGCGTTTTCTACTTTTCCAACCTCAGCGCATGGCTATGATAAACGTTGGAGGCATGGGATAGGCATCATGCCACGTGGCCGCTTGTTCTGGCTCCGAGTTGAGCGGACGAATGACGCTCACATTTCTCGAATTCATTTGGCGACTGCATATTGCCTAGAAAAAAAAATCTAAGGCAAGTTTATTGAGTTATCAGCGTTAGGGAGTTATTCTAAGTAGTATTTAGAGAACGTATAAAAATCGTTTCATGACCCCTTTAACATTGTGTGCGTACTTCAGCTTTTAGTCTTAGTATAATAAACCTTTAGCTGTATTTGAATATTTGCTGGTGTACTCGAACCTGATGTTTCATCACGCTGAGATAAACTAGACGCATTGAGAATATAGGTATACTATATGAATTTAGCGATAACCTGAAACCTTTGGTTTGTTAACGCCAGGGCTCTAAATATGATTAAGATTCTCACCAAATAATGAACAAACATATGGCATTCCTGAGGAGCCTCTTGTGTCTCAGGATCTCTGCAGGACCATGGGAAGTCAGCTGGACGTCCTTTTCTGACTTCTCTGCCAGCATGCTCATGGTAGACCTCATGTCCGGGACGGGTCTCCCGTTGAAGCGAAGAATTTTCTCGATGGCCTTCTGAGCCTGCTTTTCTCGCCGGGTGGCGACCAACCATCGCGGAGACTCCTGGACGACGCTGCGTGTTTGAAGACAAAATGGCGACGCCGAAAACCCCGGATACTGTAGGGACGTCCACAGCACCCGCTGCTAACTATACAAAAATTAGAGGGTTTTACAAATTACCTAACCCTGGGATGACGGTCCAGATTTTTAAGTTTTGCTCGTGCTTGATTTTACTACTTCCCGACGTTCCCTTCTTAAAGACAAGTTGAAAGGGTTCTTGAAAAAAACGAGTTAGAGGGGAATTATAGAGTATTTTTATCCCATGAATCCGAATATCACGTTCTTTTCCCCCGAAGATGTAACTAAACGCGAGAAAGAACGAAAAACCTCCAACCAGTCGTCCCGTCATACTAGAATTTTTCGACCGCCAAGTGCATGTCAATCATGTGGGTAGCACGTACAATTGTAAGCTTGCCAGGTATATGCCCCGGCACTAACACCAGTCATGACGTCTTTGTCTTACTTTTTCTAAAATAGTAGGCGCTGAGGACGCACGAGAGGCATTGAAGAGGCGCTGAAGATGCACTAGAGCGGAGATTCCGAAAACTCTGGCTATGACTCCACGCTCCGGGAAGGACGGACTAGAGCGGTAATTTAAAAATAATTTTCTACAGCCTTCGTGCACCAAACTGAAAAATAATCTCAATATTCGTTATGCTTGAGGCCAATTAAGGACGGTTTAAGTGTTCTTCACATACAGAACACTGACACGTTCCTTTTAATAAACATTCAACAAGACAATTTCTTACCTCTCCCCTTAATAAAACAATATTGGTTTGGAAAAACCCTTTATATGGACGACCAACGGAGCAGGGTGTTCCTACTCTTTACAAATATATATATATATATATATATAAGTGAAAGATGCGTACTGTCGGAGTTACTAATTCGAAGTTTATTACGACGTTTCGAGCGGGAGCGGTCCCCGCTCGAAACGTCGTAATAAACTTCGAATTAGTAACTCCGACAGTACGCATCTTTCACTTATTAACTTTTCCCGGTTCATTGTTTTTATATTTACCTTACTTTACCTATATATATATATATATAGGAGCCAAGGGGCCGAAGGCGTATATGTAACGAAGTGAAAAACTCACGGTGAAAAACAACAAACAACTGAAGTTTAATCGAAAGTTTCGCCGAGAGACTCGGATTCGTCAGGATATATATGTATATATATATATATATATATGGGGTGACTGTCAATCCCCACAACTGCCCGTTTCGTTCTGGATTATCATCGTACACGCGTGTGATCATGTATAACAATACTGCGTGGTGCTCGTAAGGACCCCAGCATATCAGTGGTACGGCACTGGCTATATTTCTTATCTACAGATAAGTCACCAGGCGGCCACTGGAACTGGCTAACTTGCCACTGTTTAAAGAAACGAAGAACACAATTGTGGAACGACTTAGTAAAGACGTCAGTACTTTATGACCCGCCTAATTGAGTCAATGAAAGAAGGGGTTGCAACCCGGTCCGTCACACTCTCCAGTTGAAAAGAGACACAGATGAAATCAAAAAGTACCGATAATTGCTGTCTGATTCAAGAAATAATTGAAATTAAAATCCTGCCCGTTATAATAAATAGCAGTAGAAAATAAATTGTTATATTTTATATTATTTTTCTACAGAAATTGATGTTTTGTTTATAGGTACTTTTAATGACGTTCTGTGATTAATGCTCGACAATGTATAGATATGAAAAGTTAAGTTCATCAAGGGGCTTTCTCAGGAATTAAAATCAAGGGGGTGTCTAATTTTTTAAGGGGGGGGGGGGGGGGTAAGGGGGGGCACTGAGAATAGAGGAGTCGTTGCGAATTAAGGGGGTGCCTTCACAAAAACAAGGGGGTGTTCACCCTCCCCCCCCCCCCCCTTAGGGGGTGTGTAGGGAAATCACTGATTTCCTCTACGGTCTGCACCTTTTACAGCCACTTTCCATAGCAATAGATTTCACATCAACGACACCAGCAGGAAACGCAGTTTTTAAGTTCGGTCCACCAGACAGCGTTTGGGTTATGAATCTTTTGGGAACGGGACTCACAAAATGAAGGGCACAAGGATGAACCCGCTGAGTCCCGCGACGAGTTGGAGTAATTTCCAGTTGTGCAGCAGGTAGGCGACTCCGGGCAGCAGAAGCGTCGGCAGCGTGAAGCCCAGCGAGAAACCCACGTTGAGCAGCATACGGTGTCGAGGCTCCACAATCTCCGTGACTGCGTCATCCACGTCAGTCGGGAGGAGTCATTCATAGCAAGATTCAATCATTGCTGGTGGGGTGATTGCTCATACTAACAGTGAGTAAAAAAAACTGTGGGTGCTCGATGATGGGGAGGAGTGATGTCAGAGTGATTATCTGTTGCCCTCAGGCAGCACAAAATGTGCGAGTGTTTCGCGCATTTAGAATGGCACCAGTGACATTTCCCACAACTGCCAGGTTCATAGAGACAGACCTGTTCAGATGCATCGTCACATATACGGCACCCATGTCCTCACGTAGTAGAGTGACTTCCTACGCTAGCGCTACACTTTGTATTTACCCACGTTACACCGACTTCGTACAAGTGTGAACACACTCCTGCCACGCTTCCCCGACCGACAACACGGAAGCGGGTTATACCAGTGACTCTCGAAACAACATTTGAAGCCTTACCTGCAGTTATCTCGCTCCCGCAAGGACATTATGAGTACGCTGTGCTACCGCGGACTTCCTTGGTTCTCATTGAGTCATTTGGTTTTTCCCGCTTGGTCCCCAAGCAAGATATACAGTTACCCTGAATGTGGCAGGTCTTAACGGCTTTTCCAACGTCATGAATAGTTTACTTAATATTAAGTCCCGCACGTGCGCTTGCGTCTTCCGCAGTCTTTGACGTGATACCAAAATACTTATATTTTTTTTCAATTAGCATTTTAATGGACCCTATACATAGGCGATGACTTCTGAACTAGACATACACTTAAAAGGGCAAAAATATTAAACAAAATTACAGCTTTGGTGTCACGTTTTCCACCAAGTTGAATGTCAAGAAGTGAGAATGCGTTTGCCAAAAAGTGATACATCAAAATTATTCAAGTTTTACAATTTGAAGAGGAATGAAGTGCACCTCAAATATATTTTCAGTATGCGCTGATATTCTATTTGCAGCGAAAGTACACGTTAATATATCTTTAGTGTACTTTTGTTAGAGCGCACTTGGCACGGATTTGAAAATTCTGCTGCTGCGCCGACCCAGTTCAGCAACTGCAGTGTATGAGCTCAAAAGTATATTTTAATATGTTAATATTAGCGAACTCTACAGGTTTTGAAGCATGTGTTTTGAAGTAAACTATTTGTGTCGAAGAAAGGCGAACGTAAATTGTTAAAAGAAGAGCATCGCACGTGCCACTTTCTTGCACGCCGGCTCGGGTCCGCCGTCATGATAACTTAGCCACTGTAGCACGGCCCAAGTGTTTGAAACCGAGCCGAGGAGCGAAAACAAGGTCAGCAACTTCTATGTTACCCGGCCCGGCTCCGCCCACCACCTTAACATGCCCGGAAGCCAAGCCCGAATTTAATCGTTCTTCAACCTTCGCCGCGTGTTGAGTGAGAGGGTATTAGGCAACGTAATTTTATGCACTTAACACAACTGTTAGAGGTCAACTGCTAGTACGCAACTTTTTTCTTGTATATCAGTATCTGACGGAGCTACCAATGACACCTGTGAATTAATCAAGGCTAGTCAAATTGCGATACCAAAGAGTTATATTAGCTTGATAAATTAAAGTAACGAAAGGTGATAGCATAAATTGTTCGGCCTGTATAGAACTAAATTACAGAGAACTATTTTTAGAACTTTAGGGGAATCAATCGTACGGTACGGAATCACGATGTAGGGTAATTGTTCGGAGTAAAAAGACAGAGTTGATATAATCCTAAAACATATTGTAAACAATATTTTGTATAGATCTGTAAACACAAACTTGGGCATCAAAGAAAAAAGTGAAAGCCGCTTACAACTCCCTGTAACGCCGAATTAGAGCGCAGCTCTTGAGGAAGAGGAGGGAAGGGTACTGGGGGGGTTCAACTAACCAGGGGGGGGGTCACGTGACCTTGGGGGTCACGTGACCCCCAATGCCGATGATGTCATCACTGACGTCACTGATGACGTCATCAGTGACGATGACGATGCGGATACCGATGACGTCATTAGTGACGTCACTGATGACTTCACTAGTGATGATGACGATGACGATGCGAATGTCGGTGACGTCATCAGTGATGATGACGATGACGATGCGGATGCCGGTGACGACATCAGTGACGTCACTGATGACGTCATCAGTGATTATGACGATGACGATGCGGATGTCGGTAGCGTCATCAGTGATGATGACGATGACGATGCGGATGCCGGTGACGTCATCAGTGATGATGACGATGGCGATGTGGATGCCGGTGACGTCATCAATGACGTCACTAATTACTTCATCAGTGATGATGACGTCATCAGTGATAATGACGATGACGATGTGGATGCCGGTGACGTCATCAGTGACGATGACGTCATCGGGGGGTCGACCTCGAGGAGGGGGTCACGTGACCTCAGGGGAGTCACGTAGCTTCGGGGGGTCACGTGACCTCGGGGGGGGGGGTCACGTGCCCCCCACGAGGTCACGTGACCCCGGTGGGGGGCTCGCGCGGTGCATTATGGGACATTTCCCATAATGCACCGCGCGGTTACGCCGACGGCGACGCCGACGCCGACGCCGCTCAAGCCGGAAACGGCCCCTAAGAGCTGCGCTCTAAAAAAGTGAAAGCCATTTACAACTCCTTGTAACACCGAATTAGAGCACAGCTCTTGAGGAGGAGGAGGAGGGAAGGGTACTGGGGGGGGTCACGTGACGTTGGGGGTCACGTGACGATGCCGATGATGTCATCAGTGACGTCACTCATGACATCATCAGTGACGATGACGATGCGGACTCCGATGACGTCATCAGCGATGATGACGATGACAATGCGGATGTCGGTGACGTCATCAGTGACGTCACTGATGACGTCATCCGTGATGATGACGAAGCGGATGCCGGTGACGTCATCAGTGACGTCACTGATGACGTCATTCGTGATGATGACGATGACGATGCGGATGCCGGTGACGTCATCAGTGACGTCACCGGCATCTCATTCTAACCTTTTAATCGGTTGTTACCAACTAGCCCCAACCAAAGCTTTATCGTTCGGCTCGTATTGTCGATAAGAAATCGAGGTGGGAATTGTAGTTTTAGAGCGCAGCTCTTAGGCGCCCGTTTCCGGCTCGAGCGGCGTCGGCGTCGCCGTCGCCGTCGGCGTAACCGCGCGGTGCATTATGGGTAAATTTTTCCGAAGGAACCCGAGGTCCTCCCAAGGTCCTCCCGAAGGAACCCGAGGTCCTTCGGGAGGACCTCGGAAGGACCTCGGGTTCCTTCGGGAGGGCCTCGGGAGGACCTCGGGCTCCTTCGGGAGGACCTCGGGAGGACCTCGGGTTCCTTCGGGAGGACCCAGGGGGGGGTCACTTGGCGATGACGTCATCAGCGATGATGACGATGACGCTGCGGATGCCGGTGAGGTAGTCAGTGACGTCACTGATGACGTCATCAGTGATGACGACGATGACGATGCGGATGCCGGTGACGTCATCAGTGACGATGGCGTCATCGGGGAGGTCACGTGACCTCGGCGGGGGTCACGTGACCCTGGGGTGGTCATGTGACCTCGGGAGGGGGGGCGTGTCACGTGACTTCAGGGGGGTCACGTGACCTCAGGGGTCACGTGACTTTGGGGGTCACGTGACCTGGGGGGTCAGGTGATTTTGGGGGTCGCGTGACCTCGGGGGTCGCGTGACCTTGGGGTGACCTTGGTTACGCCGACGGCGACGGCGACGCCGACGCCGCTCAAGCCGGGAACGGGCGCCTAAGAGCTGCGCTCTAAAATGAAAGCCGTTTACAACTCCCTGTAACGCCGAATTTGAGCGCAGCTCTTGAGGAGGAGGAGGGAACGGTACTGGGGGGATCAGTTGACCTCGGAAGCGGGGGGGTCACGTGACCTCGGGGGTCACGTGACCTGGGAGATCACGTGATCACGGGGGTCACGTGACCCTCGTGATCACGTGAGGGGGATACTGTAGACTACTCCCGTGGCACATGGGACGAACGGCCTGGCGTGCTTCTTGCTACACTTGTTTCTGGCGATTCCCTCTGCCTTCGCATGAACTCTGGGGCAGATCTGGCTCATTTTTTGTGGTGCGGAGAAAACCACTGCGATTCCATATCGTTTTCCAACATTTTTTAAATTGTGAGAGATCCTGTGTAAGTACGGGATAACTACAGGTCGCTTGCGTTCCACATCCCGTCGTGTAGACTGGCTACCCTTTACTTTCTTTAGCAGTTTGCTTGCGACGTCTGAAAGTAGTGTCGTCGGATAGCCAGCTTTCCTCAGTCTGTCTGTCTGTAGCCTAAAGCTCTCCCCCAGAGTGTGGAGGCAAGATTTTTTAAGCGCTGAGCTCGGACAAGATGTAACGATGCCCCTCTTCACAACCTTCGAGTGGGCCGACCTCCAGTTGAGGATGCCTTTCTTGGATCGTGGACGATAGGTCCAGCAGACACGCGAGTCTCCTATGCGCAGGGAAAGGTCCAGGTACTGGAGTACCCCTTCTTTTGGGACCTCAAAGGTAAACCTAAAGCCTCCCCCACACTTCTCGAATATCGCCACCACTGTGTCAACCAACCCTTCCAATGTTCCAGATCTTCTGAAAAACACCAAAAAGTCATCTACATAGCGAATTATCTTGATAACACTCGTGCCGCCTAGCTCTCTTTCAATGCCACAGTCCACTTCACCGAGGTAAATGTCACTTAAGACGGGGGCTACGCAAGAGCCGATACACACACCCGACTTTTGCCGGTAGCACCCTTCCTGCCACCCGACTACCATTGACTGCAGATAAAATAACAACAACTCCAAAAAGCTTTCCAGGGATACTCCACTAGAACTCCTGAAAGCCAGTTCTCCATTGGCTTCGATGCACCCTTTCACTGCTTCCAGCAATCTGTCGTGCGGCAAGTAGTAAAAAAATATCTTCCACGTCTATACTACAAGCGTGCCTCATCTCTGGACCCTCTGCTTCGAGGTACTCTACAAGGTTCAAAGAATTGAAAACCCTAAAAGGGTCCTTGATATTCAATGATGATAACTGTT